GTTGGTCGGATAACTGAAAAAACGGATAACCGAAAAATATGAAAAAATACATTATTAGTATAGTATATTAATATATCTCATGTAATTAGTATATTAGTATATCGCTATTAACCTACTTGAATTTTCATTGATATTAAGCCTAACAAAAATTTTTTAAAAATAATAATCGTCGCTATTGTATCGTTAAAAATTAGAAAATTAAGCCTCGTTTAAATAATGGCCCCCTGTCATGGTCGAGCCATGTTGCCAGCTAAGACACGTAAAAATGCTATTAAAGTAGCCAAGACATAGCCAAATATCTTAGCGGCACATCACTAGCGGGCATTTGAATTTGCCGACTAGAACGATCGTTTAACCGATGTGACAATTAATCGGGGATTGGATAATTGATGCTCTACTGTATTCAATTTTAGTACACTAAATCTCTACTTATTCAATTAATTGTGATATGGTTTTAATGCATTTATACGAATGGCACAGATCATGTGTAAAGTGGCTATTAGTATAGAGAACTAGAAATTCGGTTGCTCGGTGTTGCTTTTTTATAGATAAAGTTTGGTTCTGTGTAAAGAATTTTTTCTATGGTAAAGACGTTCACTCCGTAATAACTGGCGAAAAAATATAACAGGCTGCATTCAGATCATGGTATGAAATAAGTGACAAATCTGAATGCATTATGCTAAACCCTTTGTAAGCTCTAACACCTAATGCATGAAAAATGATTTCACTTCATTCCTCTTCATTCAGTGTTATTGTTTTCGTGTCAAAGAAAGGACAAAGATCAAGATAATTTTTATATCCAGACATATGAAACATCATGTATAATTTGAAATACAACAAAAAATGGTGTATAAAATAGCAGACTAAAATGTATATACCAAAACATTGTAATGTTTTCAATAATTAATGAAAAATAAGTTATAAGTTAATGTTTTCAGAAAGAAAACTTACACTTAATGAAATTTTTATAGAATTAATTTTTTACGGCATATTTAATAATGTAATTAATAATGGAGTCTTTTGACTAAACAAATAAATTATTTTCTCATTTTTTTTTGTCAGACCAGATTTACTTTTCGCACGAAAAAAATGCAAATTTCTCTTTCAAAGAAATTTCGATTTTCTTTCTATAAATAGGGAAACAATTTTACGGATGAATTTTTGTATGTTTCCTAATGTTTTTAAAGGTTCGTTTTCTGCTGTCCGTAAAACACAGATTTCATTACAGATAGGTTTTAAATATCTAATTAATAATACGCTATAAATAATTTTTTCTGCAAAAATAATTTAAAAAATTCCTATATGTGATAGATAATGATGTACATGTACTAGCCCATATACTTTTGGAAAAGTTAAGCGGTGAACAACAATACGATAAATTTATGAACTGCATAAACTGATATTGATACAAATTTTTATTTAACAGAACATCTTTTTATAAATGCAAACAAGACAGTACGCGTCCGTTAAGAGGTTAATTAACTTGAAAAAAAGCTATTTTAAAAAAAATTCCGGGACGCATTTACTTTAACAAAAAATTATATTTCTTTAGACTATACGTACATGATGAGTCAATTTCTTTCAGTCTCTTGATACGCTTTTGAGGTGATAACGATTCCATGGAGGAGTCGATCTTTTATTGTAGGCATTGTGCAGTGAATGAATATCTGCTATACAATAAAAAAAGTTAAGACTATGCCATTGAATTGTTATCACCTCAAAAGCGTGTCAAGAGACTAAAAGAAATTCACTTATCATGTATGTATAGTCTAAAGAAATATAATTTTTCTGTTGAAGAACTACAGCAACTATAAAAGTCTACGTATTTATTAACTGGCATGAACCGAGCAAAACTGTCTGAGACAGAGTTGCGCGGCTCTTCCTGGTACTCTCTCTCTGTTATATATACTGTAATTAGATATACGTGCACCAATTTTCGGCTTTCGGATAACAATATTCAGGCATTAGGAAAAGTCGGAAGAAAACTGATTTACACTGATTATTTATTGTAAAAACTGTAAGCGTTTCAGTTTATTCAGCTGTACTTGGTACAAGTACAAACATTATGATGGATAATTAAATTAATTTATTAATGTGAAATAATAAACACATTAAATTTTTGTTTTTACAAAAGTAGTTTTCTTCATTTATAAGTTTTTTAACTTTATATATAATCTATTCATAAAATATTTCACTTTTACCATAGACAGTTACTACAGCTGCCATGAAACGCCTAAAATTCAAAAAAGAAAAAAAATTGATGTATTTTACTATATGTATGAGTGTTTGTGTGTGGGGAAACAATTTTCTTCACCCAGTGTAAAACTCAATGATAATCTCTTTTTTTTACAAAAAGTTGTAACTGTTTTCCGGATAGTTTTTTATTAGAGGCATTTGTTGGTAAATTGTGTTATTTAGACTTCCATGTGACAGAAACATATAGAGGTATCTTTCTGTCGGTTTCTCAGTGGTATTAGATTTAATGAAGATTTTCCTCTTAATTAAACTCTTCTTTAAGCTCAAGATTATTATTTTTGAATCATTTTTCTTGTCTTTGAATACTAATTAATTATATAAAGTTTACTTTTATGTGATATATCACATCAGATGGCATCATCACAATTTTCAAATTTTTGCTAAAGAAGTTACGAAATTTCTTGTTTTATATTTTATACATAGGTTATTAAATTAACGAAAATACATACATATAAAAAGATATCAAAACTTAAGCGTTGATTAATATCATTTATTATAGAACAAACCATGAAAAATACACATCAAAGTAAAAGTGTTAATAAAATAAGAATTACTGGAGTACCTGTAAGTTTGGTATTAATTTACTTTAAATTATTTATAAAAAATATATCTTATTTCTATTTTTAAAATATTTTAAGTTTTCTCCTTATTTAAAAGTGAAGAAAATTAATAACACTGTAGTCTTTGATGGTATCGATTTTAAATTTTTATGTTCAGTCATTCAAAATTTAAAAAATGTTCAGTAAGTAAATTCATTTTATTTATACATAAAAATATATGAAAATATAAAATTTTTATAAGATATTTTACATAGATATGAAATTATTGAACCTGTTGAAAAAGTATTTGGAATTGAATTAGACAACGGTACGTGGAATGGTTTAATTGGAAAAATACAAAGAAAGGTAAGAATAGTAATAACAGTTCAATTTAATCTGTGAAATTAATTATTATTATCTATAATAGTTTATTTATATATATAAGGAAGCTGATCTTTGTGCAATTTCAATATATGCGACATACGACAGATTTCAAGTAGTGAAATTCACAGCTCCTATTGATGGTAGTAGCGTTTTATTTGTTCTTTCTAAACCTAAACAAATGCCAAAACTAATGACAATAATAATGCCGTTTTCATTTGAAGTAAGTAAGAATTTGCTATATTATTTACTTTTACTAAAATTACGTTTTTTAGAGAAGGAATGTTTGCTTGAATTAGACGAAATTTTATATTATTGATGATTTTCATGTTGGTGAATTATATCGAAAATATCTGGACCGGTCATTCTGCACCAACCTCCGTTATGAAGTGTGGATGAACTGACGAAGATTTCGATAAAAATTCTTCATATTGATCACGTAGCAAAATATGTACAGTACATCAAAATATTCAACAAAAAGAGAATTAGCGGTATACGGACGTATTCTAGTTTCCATCATTCCTTGTTGGGGTTGTTTCGGCGTTTTATCTACGTAAAAATGACGCTGGTAAATGCAGATTAAAAAACTGCCCTGTGGTGACGATACTTTTTAAACTTTTTTCAAATTTTTGTCTGCTGACAATAATTATAATTAACTATCTGAATCAAAAAACATAACACCTTAATTTGCTGAGAAAATTTAGTGAATAAGCAAACGTTTTCAGCCAAATATGTTGGCCATCATCAGGCTGAGATATTCGAATATAAATAAAATAGAACATAAATTTAAATACAAATAAAAATACCGAATGACATATACACGTATTATGCTATGCATATATTTATATATATGTATTTTGTTATTTATAAGAATTTTTATTTTATTTTTCTTTGTGCATATATATGCATAAAGAAAAATAAAATAAAATAAAAATTATTCTTATAAATAACAAAATATGTATATAAATATATGCATAGGATAATCAAACATTAAAACGTTATATAATAATACACTAGATCAGAGGTGAGCAACCTTTTTAATCAACGGGCCAATTTAAATTTTAAAATTTTTTGGTGGGCCACACATAAAGTAACACTTATTAATAATTTACAAAACTTTATTTATAATAAACATTAGAATAAAAAAATATAAAATTTAAAAAGAAGTAAAGATTTCATATATTTATACAAATTTTAATGCAAAATAAAAACAAACAAGAAAAGAACAGAAAAACGAATTTACTTGAAATTTTTAATAAGAAATTTGGCACTGTTTTTTCGATACAAGCTGATCAATATCAGCCGGAATTGATGAGGTAGCTACACGTACGCAGGTTTCTAATCGTGCATCACTCAGTCTTGATCGGTGGTCATTTTTGATTAATTTCATGGTTGAAAATAATTGTTCGCAAACATACGTACTTCCAAACAGAGACATCATTTGCTTTGCATTTTTCGTCAAAAGCGGAAATTTCTCAGGGCTCACATAAGATTTATAAAAATTTTCGATGTTTACTTGAGAAAAATACATTTTATAAATCGGTATTATTCTGCATGTCAATCACTTCCATTTGAAAGTCTTCGGGAACTGTATCCACATCGATATTAAATGGCTAGGAATACATTTTCATGGAAACCTCTGTCTTCTCAACTTTGAACATTTGGAATCGTAATTGAAATTCGTTGATTAAAATGTCTATACATTGTGCGTATTTTTGAGAAGTAGTAACGTTTTCTTTTTCTAAATGTGGAAAGTGAGACCCATTATTCTGCAAAAGATGCTGTTCACACAATTTTAGTTTGCGCTCAAAGCCCTGAATTTTATCATACAAAATTGTGAATAAACTGTCCTTTGCCTTGAAGTTCCACATTAAGATCATTGAGATGCTGAGTCATGTCGATAATAAATCCAAAATCGCACATCCATTCTTTATTACCAAAATGAGGAAAGGCATATCCCTTCATATCCAAGAACAATTGTATTTCGCTTTTTAAGTTGTATACTCTTTTTAACATTGTATTTCTACTAAGCCAACGTACTTCGGTATTAAAAACCAAGTCGCCATATTCAGTTTCTAAATCTTCCAGGAATTCTTTAAATTCACGGTGATTTAACGCGCTCGACTTTATAAAATTGATTAGTTTAATGATTGGTACTGTGACATTTGGCAAACTCAATCTTTTCGCACACAAATTTTCCTGGTGAATTACGCAGTGGTTAACGAATATTTCCCTTCCTGTGACCTTCTTAATGTCTCGAAATAGCCTTCCCGATACTCCTACCTCCATGCTTGACATTGCTCGTGCTCCATCTGTCGATATACCAATAATCTTTTCTAATGAAATTGAAAAATTTTCCAACACAGACTTTAGTTCATCGTACAGGTCTTTGCCGGTTGTAGTCCCTTGCATTGGAATCAGTGAACACAATTCTTCGGTAATATTAAATTTGGTGTCAATACCACGTAAAAATATAGCCAGTTGTGCTGTATCGCTAATATCGCAACTCTCATCAAGTGCCAAAGAACAGTATTCGAATTTTGCAATGCGTTCACGAAGCGTTGTTGCTATGTTCTCGGACAAGTCTTCAATTCTCCTTGCAATGGTGAATCTTGATAAACTAATGTTTGAAATAATATTTATTTTATCAGGAAATGCTATTTCTGCAACAGCAGTCAGACATTCTTTTATCATCTCTCCATCCGCAAAGGGTTTCATTTTTTTTGCAAGTATTTGACTGACAACAAAACTAGCCTTTACTGCCGTATTTGATAAAATAGCTTGATTTTTAAAAATAGCCTGTTGTTTTCCCAAGTTTTTCTCCATTTGATTAAACTTATCTATCCGGAGTTGTCCTGTTAAGTTTTTATATTGTTGTTCATGTTTTGTATCGTAATGCCTTTTTATGTTATATTCTTTTAATGTCGACACAGTCTCTGAGCATATTAAGCATACAGCTTTATCTTCGACGAAAGTGAAAAAATAATCAAATTTCCACTTTTCTTGGAAATGCCTGTGCTCATCCGCAACCTTCCGTTTTTTTGTTTGCTTTTCCGACATGCTATTATGGATTAAAAATTTGAAAGTTAAAAAAATTTGTAGGAAAACTTAATTTTGAATAAAAAAAACTCTAATATTACCTTTTTGACAATAATATTGCACTCACGCCTTTCAAGAAACACAAGAATTGCTAAAATTGCTAGTTAACAGCTTACCAGTCTGACTGTGTGACAGAAGCAAACACAAACAAGCACAGACGCGGCGCGTTCATATTGCATGTTTCAACAACTCGCCGACAAGTGAGTAACCCGTCACAAAAAATTGTTTCGGTTTAGTATGTACTACCATTTTATTATAAATAATTTTATAACAATATATTGATGGGAGAAAATCGATAAAATAAATTCAATTTTAAAAATGCTTGGCGGGCCGCATAAACATGTTTAACGGGCTGCAAGCGGCCCGCGGGCCGCGTGTTGCTCATCCCTGCACTAGATGAAATTCAATAAAATGCAAGAACATGCAAAACTACTAAAATCAAGACATTAAATTAAGAGCTTTCTAATCTTTTCATTAAGTATTTCGAGGCCGAATGCAACCCTTCCAAATCTCTAGAATTAATGCATGCATTAAGTAACCTGGTCTTATATATTTCAATTTATCAGCGCAAATCGACAATATCGGTGAATGTACTGGTTTAATAATACAGTAGAGCGTCGTTTATCCGAAAGCATTCCAGTAGGCAAATTTAAATTTTTGCTAGTGCTGTAGCGCTGCAATCTCTGGCTATGTCTTGGGCTACTCCAATATTTTTTGTTGGTGTGTGTGTTTTAGCTGGCAGCACTGGCACTTTTGTGTGGTGTTTTTCTGAGGACGGTGTGTCGTGCTGAATCGAACGTTTCTGATACTAGATCAACTTCTAAAGTATATATTTTTTTGGTTTTTATATTTTTCAATATATTTACTTTGTTTGTACAAAATAAAAAAATAATTTTTAACGATACAATAGCCACGATTATTATTTTAAAAATTTTACATTAGGCTTAACATCGGCGAAAATTCAACGCGAAGCGACACGCAACAGAAAAAAAATTTGAACACGGGATAGGTTAATATATTTTTCGCTTATGATCGATTATCCGAAAAATAAGTAATCAGACCCCTCAATTTATTCGGATAAACGATGCTCTATTGTACTTGGATCGTCCCATTTGACGACTGAGCCCTCAACTTGCGCCATTTGCGATAGTATTGTAGCGTTAGATCCCTTGCTGATATTGTATTTGTGTTGTTTTAATCTGACTCCTAAGTTTCTATTAATGACACCAATGTAATTTGTATTAATGTCTAGTTCACGATTTTCATGCGGAATCTTGTACACTTCTACTTTTTTTTTTATAATCCATGCTGTCTTTGTCGTTTCTTAATAATTTGTACAGGTTAGGAGCTCTCTAGAAAACTAACGTGGGCATTTTGCGAGTTGAGATTTCTTTCATGATGGCTTTTCTTCTATCATAAGTGAACTTTGTGATTTTTTTCGAATTCTCTGAATTGAGCCTTAGTTTTGTTTATTTCGTAATTTCTGATCAATGTTGTTATCATATCTGCTCTGTACCTTTTATTTTTTTATGATTTACTTATGCTGAGTGTGTGTACAGTACCTCAATTTTAACTATCTGAAGACAAAGTCCTTTCAAAACAGAAACCTCCCTTTATTATCTTCGTATTCTAGAGTATACATTCTTGGCGAATAACCTTCTATTTTACGCTACTTGCCACCAAAAAGTCCGTTTAGAAAAATTTTTTTTTTAATTAGATGTATTTTTGTTTTTAAAAGGACTTTTTGGCGACCAGTGGCCTAAAATAAAAGGTCAGTCGCCAATAATATATGTAAAAATTATTGTATATGTAAAAATTTACAATATTAGTGAGCAATCGGCAATTTATTTACAATTACTTTATTATAAATATTAGACTTACACATTCGAAGATTTATTGGGAAGTTTACATTACTATAGTTATTAAATTTAATTAGTTTTTGTTTATTAGTTGCTTTTTACCTCGAGAATGGTGTTAGATACACGAAACTCGAGAACAGATACTAAAGCGTTGACCCTAAAGTGGTACAGATTAACTATGTAGGAATTTTCTGTACAATCCAATAATCACATTATTTTAATTCAAAATTATATTTTTGAAACGAGTTAAATAATTTGACCAGCTAATGAAATTAGTTAGATACATGACTCTGTTGCTAATAAAAATGTATGACGTACAGAGGCAAGACACTATAGTACTAATATGAAATAGAGAACATATATTTTTATTTATTTAAATTAAAAATTGCAATCCAGCATTGTGACAATGTCACTTCCAATAATTGCTCATTCATACTAATTTGTTTTATGATATATTTTGTAGGTATGGATCTGTCTGTTTGCTTCTTCATTTGTTACCGCAATTGCAATTTATTGTATTGTTAAAGGAAACGTGTATTTTTTTCATGTAACGACTTCGTGGACACCAAAAAAAATTTGTTGGTTTCTCATTCGCAGTTTAACATCTCAAGGCAAGCGAATACATATATATTATTTTTAAAAACAATTTTTATTATATGAAAATACAGTATTAATATAAAATCAGCTATACATTTATGTAAGTGTATTGCTCGTTTTTGCATTTTTATTAATTTACAGTTGACCCCCCTAAAACACTGTTGCTAATTCTGTATTATATGAATTCCACGTTGTATGAGTCACTTAGATTTTACAAATACGTGAGCTGTTCAGAACCTGGCACACGTATTTGTAAAATCTAAGTGACTCGTACAACGGGGAATTCATATAACACGGAATTATCAACAGTGTTTTATGGGGGTCGGTATTAAAATTTTTAAACTAATTCGTAAACGGTTTGTTGAAAATACTGCTATTAATTAAATAACGTATATAATTTCAAATATATAGGTTACATTTTTAAAATCTATATCTATATCTATATACATATAAAAATAAACATGTATGTCCCTATACTTCAGCTTTTCGCCAAAACTACACATCGCACGTGAATGGTGTTTGTATGTGACAGTAGCCCCAAGTCTCCATTCGTGCATAGGGGTGGTTGCGTCTCGATAGCTATAAGGATGCGGGAGATATGAGGCTGAAGTGGTTGAAAGTGGCTTTCTATTTCGAATGTTTTGTTCGAATTTGTTGGAATTTGTTCGAATTAAATTCGAACATAAAATTCGAATATTGGTTCGATTATAGAACGATTGTAAACGTTCCAGAAACGTTGAAAATAGTTTGTTTGACTAAACATAAAAATTCTCTAATTAGTCTGGAAACGGGGACCTAATTCCTGCATTCTGTGAAAACGGGTAAGATTAGCTATAATGTAATTATCTTAATCTTCACTATTGTTACTTTTTGCCCAGCGAAGCGGGTCCTTGCAGCTAGTTATATTAAATATTTATAAGATAATTAATCGTATCGGATTTTATTAAGATTGTTTCCTAGATATCCGAAAATGGCCTTTATATTAGGTAATGAAATCCGTCTTTATTAAACAAGACGGATTTCATCATCTAATGTACTGTACAAAAATATAGGCAAGAATAAAACGATGTACAGTACCGTTGATAGATTGACGCGTAACAATAGACATTTCGACGAAAATTCACTAATTATATCGTTAGAGTAATTAATATACAAAGTGGCCGTAAAGTCCGGAAACGGGCCAACGTACAACATATATTAGGCCTATCTGATATCTTCGTTAACAATGCATCACGTGTTCCGTGTTTTATTCTCTGTACAAACTTGCAAGGCGGCACTTTGACTCGTCGATCAAGACCACGTTTCCAGATTTTATGAACGAGTTACTTTAGATTACAATAGCCTATGTAATTGCTGGCTTTACGGCGATTCCTATTATATTTTCGCTCACGGGACATTTAAATGAAAACAAATTCGTCTTAACATCCCGGGTTAAAATAAAAATAAATTAAATCACTTTTTTTGTTTTTCGTCTCATTTTCTCCGTGACGAGATAGATTTATCGGTGTTAGAAAAGACTTGTTTTTAAAGTTTCGTACACTTGTGAGTGAACGTTCCTTGCATCTTTTTCGTTCCAAGAGCATCGAAGATATATTCATTTTCTTAAATGTAATAGTGTGCGAAAAATTCGTAGACGCAATCTTTTGTTGACCTTGAAAATAATTTTCAGTCACCTGTGTTGGTTTTTACTTTCCCGGCTGTTCCCATAACAAGGGAAAGTAATAGAATTGTGTCAAATTTGACCTGAGGTTTTTGCAAATATCCACGTTTTGAGACCCCTGAACCCAAATAGTACAAAAAAAAAGCATAAAAATTCCGTGTGTGTGTATTGGCGTCTATTTTGCTTAATATCTCGAGACGGGTGAAGATAAAGAAACGTAATTTGGCACGGTAACCTATATATAACGGGCTTTGATGCTATTAAATTTTGGTTGTGAAAGGTCGAGGGGATGGAGACGTAGAGGGCAATCACGTGATATATTTCGCGAGGGGTCAGACTTAGATTTTACTTGTTAGCATTTACAATGCTTTATAAAACTCATCTGTACCCTCAAAATTAATTATATATTTTTAAGTCTTTTGCTATTTTATAATAAAGTTTTTATAACAAAATCTCGTAACATATGGCCCTACATACAATTTTAGTCATTTTGATGAATAATACAAAAGTTATTTTAAAAATAAAATCTCATAAAAGCCGGGAAAATTACGTCACTCGTTGCTAGATTTTTATTTTTAAATCGTTTTTTTATTAAAAATAAACACATTCAG